GGCAGAGGAGTGGTGGTATGTGATTTTTTCTATTTCGAAACTAACCTACATTAGAAGTAGCAGCCATGGTTATGGCTCTAAGTCTGAAGATGAAGGAGAAATGTAACTCACAAGAAGACACACTTTAGTGGTTTTGGTTTTTTTATCTTTAATTTCATAAGAACAAAATCTTATTATCTTCCTTCAATGAAAGACACAGTTTTTTGGAAAAACTTGATGAATCTTTCTTAATTTCGGTAGATTTAAATTTCAGAATAGTGATTTCTTTTGCTTTTATTAGCATTTTTATCTTATTTTTCCCGTAAATTTGTTGACAAATACTGGCAATCTTAATTAGAAGCACTATATAATCGAAGATGACAGAAGATTAAAAAAATGATGGCAGGATTTTGTTGGGGGCGACGGTGGCGGAGCACTGCAAGAGGGTGTTTATGGTGGTTTTAATAAAAATGGATTTTTTACTTTAAAAAAAAAAAAAAAAAAAATTGGAAATTTGACCTTCTCCCGCACTTAAGAGAAGTGGTACACACGTTTTTTGGCAGGTCAACCGTTTGTATTTGATAGACACACATTGTGATTGAAGTAGCTAATAGGTACATGTATCACTTGAGGTAGCTAAGTAAAAATAGTGTACAAGCTTAAGGAGTTGTATGTGTATTCAGCCTACTTTTAACAAAAATTAGTTTGGGGTTTAAGTCCTCAAATATACAATGTTATTTCTTAAAATAAAAAAAACACTTCTTTTAAATTTTGGAAAAAGTTTCAAATATAAATGAGGCCTACCTAAGTTATTACACTGTATTTCCGCGATAGGAAAATGGAAATTTCAGTCGCCAAAAACCGAACAACTCAGAAACCATATATGGATTATGGAGTTATTTATAGTATCCCAAATTGGTAACGGAAGAATGCAATAATACAGAACGTACCCAACAGTACAAACAAAGGTATCAAAACCAGAAAAGTTAACACAAAGAAAATGTACATTAATGTATTGATCCAACATTATTTTGCTTTATATTTTGCAAAACACTACTTTACTTGCACCACGTGTTAATTAATATCTGATTATATCAACTTACTATAGTTTTTTTTTTTTATAATGTAATCGTATATATTAATTAACTATGACTAAGTGAGATAAATTTATATGCAAAACACATATCATGCATGTTAGAATAGTTTGTACATATGTGGGAGTTCCACATCAATGGCCACAAGCCATTTTGTTGGCGTTATAAAGCTAAGCCCACTAAGTCTAATAAAATGAAAAACTGACATATGTGTATATTATTTTTATTTGTTTGAACAGTTTTTTTTATTTAAAATTTGAATTTAATATTTAAATATTGAATTAACAGAAAAGTTGTGACTTCGTACAAGGAACAATTTTTCAGGAAAAATCTCCCTTTCCTCTCTATAAATTTGAAAACATCCCAAAAGTAGCATATTCAATTTGCACGTATATTTTCAGGCTTTGTTACATTGTATCTGATAGAGAATTACTTGTATTCCCTAGAATATAACTCTCGAAAAATAGTGATCTTTCAAGCCTCAAAGCCTTAATTTCTCTGTTAATTACCTACAATTTCTAATAATGCATACATTAATTTGGCTTAAATTCGATGTGAATGAATATATCTTTCGTTAAGTCTGCAAGACGTGAAGTAACATGATTGATATCTTATTAAGGATCCAGTCTAAGAATAAAACAACTATAAGTGGTCCCTCCAATTTTATTTCTCAACTTAACATGGACAGATAAATCTAAGCGGTCTCAATATCACTGTAGATTTAGTAAATAAATGTTGGATTGAATCACCTAAAATAGCATAAGTCTCTGGGGAGATATACGTTTGAGTGATTTTTTACATGGTTTATCAAGCACAATCAGATATCTGATTGTTGGGTTGAATCACCTCAAATAATGTAAGTTGCATGAGAAGAAACACGTTAGTTGAATTTTTAGTAGGATTTAATTGAAAAACCTATTGACCTTAGGGTGAGAGAATCTCAATTTATTAAACATAGTCATTGTTTAATCAACACAAGCACAACTAATTCCAAATCGACAAAACTGACTAATTTCCATTTTGCTTTAAGAAGCCTCCACTAAGCTTTCGAATTTTACATCATAAAATAGTACTGGTAGTCAATACAGAAAGAGATGCACAATGATATTGCATATTGGGGAGAGTTAAATAATATTTCCCCAAAAAAGGAAACAACTATTTCGCCATAGACTTCTCTTGATTCCTCTCAATACTCACGCCAAGAAGCATAGTCACTGGTGAACTATAATTTACAATAACTTTTTGCTCACTCTAGTAACTATATTTTACATACAATTTATGTTGACTTTTTCTTCAAAAGTTGTGCAAAAAATTTAAGAAAGACATTAAAAAACCAGGAAATTAAATGTGGATGTGGGAGTAAACAAATGAAGTATCAGTGTTATCATGAGCTTTTCTTGCAATTTTTACCTCTCTAATTCTTGTTTACAGAGAGGACAACAAGATATAATTCTGAGCCATTGATCCACACATTTGAGATGGAATATATGAGAACAAGGCAATTGTCTGATCTCTTCTTTGTCTCTGTACTTGGCCAAACAGATACAACATTCCTGTTATCCCACAAACTTGTTAGGCTTTGAGGAATGATGTACAAATTTCCTTGCTATTTTGTTTTCTTTTCTAAGGGTGTATTTGGTACAACGAAAGTCCGAAAAATGTTTTCTATAAAATAATTCATTTCTAGTGTTTGGTAGCCAGAATATATTTTTTTAGAGGGAAAATTGTCTTCCAAATTTATTTTGCTTCATAATTATGTCAACTCTTAACTTCAAATCACGGCCTTAATTAATACTTCGACATTATTATCAATCTTTAGTATTAAAAAAATTTCATTAAAACACTCTCTGGTTTGCTAATATTATTACCCGTCTTTAATAAATATTCTTTCTTAGAAAATATTGCCACTCTTCAACCAAACACCTAAAAATATTTTTAAGCGTTAAGTATTTCTAATCCTTTCTTTACAATTTGTTTCATCTCTAATTCTAGGTGTTTAATAAGGAAACAGATCACTTACAGCATTTTCACTCTGAAACTCTTCTTTATTTCTAATTTCCTTGTATTTCCAGCTTGGTAGATTGGAGAGTTGTTCATCAGATGCGCCTCGATCGACCGATCCCATGTTCATGTTATAGCCAAGAAGACTACTCAAAAGTGGCACACAACAGCATAACAATACAAACAATATGAAGGGGAAAGAGTAAGTGACAGCATTCCAAGCTAGCAGTGAGATGCAGAGCACATGAAGTTTAGGAGCACGATGGAATGATCCAAAGCGTGAATCAAACACCCAAACATTCCCCATCACAAACCATATGGCGAAGAACAATTCTATACAAGTCCGACATCTCTCCAGCAGAGGCGGCAAGGCCCTGGAAAAAGAATTGTATACTATCATATCATCTAAAAGATTGAAAATGAAATTAGTAATCTTGATAAATTACCTCTTACAACAGATTACAATATAACGATAGTATAACACTTTTTACATTGTTAAGTTAAATCGTAGGAAGAGTTATCATTTATTCTATAACATCTCTGTATTCTATGCAAATTCTTGAAAATGCATTCTTTAGGGGTAAAATGAAGTAAGTAGCCTCTATTAGTTTAATGATGCAGCTGAAGTCTAGTTTATACACAAAAGAATAAGTTCTTAATAGCCACATTTTTTAACGAAGGAGAAAGAAACAATTTGAGATAATTGGTTCTTGTAGACAATTTTTAAATCCTCTCTTGCCACCAGCCGAACCACATGACTCAAAACAACAGAAACAAGAAATGCAACGTGGTCAAAATTCAAATGGTGTTACTAGAATACGCCTTATTTATATTTTAGAAGACGACCTTGTGAGACTAAAAGAAAAGGAACCTTAAGTTTGCAGTTCAAACGAGGATTACGTTATTAAAATTGGAGTCAAGTATATTTAAAAAGTGAAGAAGTATTGCGCTATTGACAGAGTAATTGTTCATTTGTTTAGCACGTGTTGAAAAATCCAAAATTGAGAGCTTTCAATCTCTTTATGCATGTTAACACAAAAAAACAGCATCCATGGCATCCGTTTTTTTTAAAGTTTTGCACACCTCCTAAGGAAACAAAATAAGTCTTAATCATAAGATTGTTTGTCTCTATTACTCTTTAATCGTCTCCCTTTTTTACTACTTCACTAATTGGAATGAGTGTGCATCTGAAAAATAAAAGTAATGAAATGTCAACTATATTGAAAGAGATTCATTTTGCCAAAACTACTAATATTTTGGACAGGGTGAAGTATATTACCTTAATTCATCATGGTTTATTTGCTGCTCAATATCAGAGGTGGCAGAGTCATCTCTTTGCCTGACATATAATGCCCAGTAGCGCCAATAAAGCAGAATCAGACTAAGTACACATCCAAAAGAATATCCAAATACCCAAATCCTCATTGGCCAAACTGGCCTTTCCTCCTTTGAAATAGCCAGTGTGTATGCTGTGATAATTATCTGAACACTTAAAGCTATGCACTCCATCATCATCCAAGTCACAGAATTAAAAGGATTTGCACCAAGTTCTGATCTTGAACCATTTTGGTAATGAAACACCCTTCTTAAGAAACTGAAACACCTTGATCTTGATATTCTAATAGCCATTCTTATTAAGAATGAAGAAAAGGGTGTCCTTGCTGAGGACATGTTTCTAACATTAACATCCATTGTTTCTTCCACAACTTCAGTTGCAATTGGCGGGACAGGAACAACAACTCTAGAACTACATAACGAGTCTGTTGTAATGAAGTAACGACTATTCATTGGGAATGATGACTCTCCACCGGGAGGCGTATGTAGCATATAATCAATAGATTCAACTAAAACCAGTATTTTCAATATGAAATATAGATATATAGTACAAAAAAAGTGTAATGGGTTCGGTGATAAGAACCAAAATATTGAACGAATCAAATTTAAATGCCGGAGCCGACTCTGGACACTGCTTAGCTAAACATACATGTACCTTAGCCAGGAGGTGTATTTAACAAATTTGTCAACAAGGAGAAATTTCCAAGAACTTTCAAATTCTTACTGCTATCAAGTAATATATCATCAGTAATAATACCATACAGCATGTGGGAGGAGAGACGATGATTAATGAAGAATTTTTCAAAGAAAATTCCCTGCTAGCATGTCACTGCAAAAATTTCCCAAATTGAACCTATTACATAATCCAAGTATCAATCTTGAAAAATAGTTTTGCTCATCTTAACTAATCTTGCATAGCATATGATGCCAAATTTCAAGAATCTCTAAAAAAGAGAAGAAGATGGATAAGAATAGAGAACAGAGGAATGGAAGTAGGAATAAAAAGGGAGGAAATAAGAAGAGAAAGAGGTTATGGGGTTGAACAAACATGACAGAGGAAGGTGAAGTTTGGGTTCAGATGGTGACCAATAATCAAACAGCCCCTTTTGCTTTGATTTCAAGTGAATTTTTTTAAAAAGGGTGAGGAACTATAACCGTTGGCCTAACTTCCTCAGACGTTTTAGGCTTTATTTTTTTCGTTTTGTTTATTGAGGAAGCAAAGTATGGAAGCTCAAAGCAGTGTGGGGTTCTTGAAATGCACATTTACTCTTTGAGTCGTTTTGTATGTGGATTAGAATTAGAACATCAGCAAAGAGTATTCTAATTTTTCCCTGATGTTAACGTTGAGTCAATCCCATTTTTGATACAAATGTTAACTTATTATTCGGACAGCTATGTAATTAAGAATTTGAATTTCTGGCGGGTACAGTAGCTAATCGCCTGCTGAGGTTATCAGTTGGCCACCTAATCAAACCCAGTAGCAAAAGCAACTTCGTATTGAACTCATTACACAATAAAAATTCCTATAAATAAAATATATATATATCTAAATTTCTTATTGAAATTATTAATTTCAATTGAACCCGTAATCAGCTAGCTATATCCGACCCTGCGTCTTCCTGCCAACTTGCCAAGAGAACATGCGGTTTAATATCTTTGGTCAGCCACTGTCAGGGCTGGTGCCTTGATTTTGTGCAAAGAATACTATAGGGCTTAATACTTGATTGCGACATTTTCTTTTGATTTTCTTCTAAGGTTCTATACCTAGTTATTTTTGTATTTTGGATTTTAGGAAATCATTTTTATATATGCACACACAAGTATCCATTTAATACTATTTAATTGTTTTTAAAACACGTTAAATAAGAAAACCAACTGTAACATCCTAATGTGCTCTCCCTCTAAGTTTTTCTTTTTCTTTTTTCTTGTCAATCAAATGAATTTCATGTATTATGTATAGTCCAACTCGGCTGGCGGCTGTTAATCTGAGACGTGGGACAAAAAGCTAATATAATGTTGATATTTCGTGTGTTACGTATTTATGTATATCATTTACTTTTTGACATTCACATTGTTAATAATCTGTATTCGAAAAGTACATTTTGAAAATAGAAACTAAGTAAAACAAGAAATAAACAAGAAAACAGAAATTAATCCGCGCCACTGGATTCAAACTATTTTCTTAAGTAACTTAATCCCCTCCTAATATCCGAGGTTTAGGATTATTTCCTCAAGATAGAACGAATTACCCTCACTAGTGTAGCATAAATGTGTCAAACGGGCTGGGCTGGCACGGTTCCAGACCGGCCCTGACCAGTTTTAGACCGGACCGGACCGGTAGTAAGGGGGCCAGGCAGGGCTGGGTTGGGACGGGGACTGGCCTGTGCCGGTAGATTTTTGGTACTGATTAACCGGACCGGTATGACCCGTTATTGTAACGACCCGGCCGGTCGTTTTAAGTATTATAACCTCGTTTTCCCATTTACGGCTCAATTTATTCTTTACATTTGTTATGTGACTTGCCGGGGATAATTGGTTCGAGTCTAGTGAGGTTTTTGAATGATTTGGAACACTTAGTTCCAAGGTTTCGAAATTTAGTTAAAAATGTTGACCAGATGTTGACGTATGTGTAGTGACCCGGAGAATTTTTACCAAGGAAAATTAAGGTTTTGTGGTGTCGAGGTAGATCAATTAGTACAAAGGCTCGGACTTTTTGGGTTGAACAATGCACCAGGAAGTAAAGGAAAATTTTTGACAGAAAAATGCGTTTCTGCAGTCCATTATGCGACCGCATAATCACTCCGCGGGCCGCATAATGGCCGCAAAAGTGAGGTAGAAGAGGGCCAGTTTGGATGAAATTTGCGGTCGACTATGCGACCGCATAACTGTTCTGCGGTCACTATGCGACCGCAAAACAGGTATGCGGGCCGCATAGTGAACGCATACACAAGCAGATGTTTGCCAGTTTTGGACACCGATTATGCGACCAATATGTGGTCCGCATAACCATTATGCGGTCGCATATGCGACCGCAGAATCCGCTCCGGAGCTTCATTTTTCTGATTTTATAAACCCGACCCCATTCTTATAAAACACTATTGGGGGTCATTTTGAAGAGTTTCATCTGGTATTTTAGAGAGAGGTGAGAGCATTTTAGAGAGAGAAAGTGAAGACTTAGTCATTTATCCATCAATTTCTTGTTCAAGGTTTGAAGATTTCACAAGGATCTTGCTAGGGCTTCAAAGAGGTAAGAATTTCTTTCCTCAATTCTTCAATTTCGGGTTTGGAGTAAAGAAGGGTGATTTATAATATGATTCTTGGGTGTAAGAGTATTATGTATACATACCAATAAGGTTATGGAAAGATTGTTAGGTTCAAATGGGTAAAGATTGGGTTGAAAATGATAGAAATCTTCATAAACTTTAATTGAAGATTTGAGGCTCGAGTTGATGTCGAATTTTGGTGAAATTTGTATGGTTGGACTCGTAGTTGGATGTGCGTTCATATTCTATAACTTTTGTCGGGTTCCGAGATGTGGGGCCCACAAGCAATTTTGAGTTAATTTCGAAATTTTCGTTAAAATGTTGATTTCGTTAATTAGATGAGTCTATTATTGTTGTATTTATGATATGTAATTTCTTTTGGCTAGATTTGGGCCATTCGGAGCCGGATACTCTTGGAAAAAGCATTGTGACCGATTGATTGAGCTTGATTCAAGGTAAGTGGCTTGTCTAACTTTGCGTGGGGGAAATTCCCTTAAGATTTGGAACTATTGTGCTATGTGAGCGTTGTGTACGTGAGGTGACGAGTACGTACACGGGCTAGTTGTGGTAAAACCCGATTTTCTTGCCGAGCAGCAACATGTTTTCCTGTTATTTTGAGTTATACCATTTTAATGAACACTAATCTATTTTCATTCTTAATTGAGTTATTCCAATATGTGTAGCTATCATGTTTAATCTAATACAACATGTCTACGTGTCTTAATTGTTTATGTGACTTATGTGCAGCATGCTTAGTGAATTTCCTGCTTCTTCCCTGACTGGTACTTAGTCTAAATTGTAAGAATTTNTCTCGGGAGATCCCCTGTTGTGTTTCTGTGTACTGAGCTGTTACCTTATATGATTCCATTGTTGTTAAATTTCAACCTTTATTTTATTGCGGTATTTCACTCTATAGTATTTTATTATATATTTTACCAGTAGGGCCCTGACCTGACCTCGTCACTACTCGACCGAGGTTAGGCTTGGCACTTACTGGGTACCGATTGTGGTGTACTCATGCTACTCTCTGCACATGTTTTTTTCGTGTGCATATCCATATGTACCTTATCAGCCGCACTATCAGTGAGCCGGGACAACTTTGGAGACTTCAAGGTATATCTGCCTCGTCCGCAGACCTCTGAGTCCCCTTCTACTCTTTTTCATGTCCATTATCTTCTGTATTTTTCCTTGTTAAACTCTGATGTATAGAGACACTAGATTTTTTCCTTCTGTAGTTTGTGATTCACGATATTCCGGGTTTTGCGGATTTGCTGTGTATTTTTGAACGGTTAAGTGTTAAAATTATGTTTTCATTTCATTATTCCGCAAATGTTAGGTTTACCTAGTCGTAGAGACTAGGTGCCGTCACGACATTATACGGAGGGGAAATTTGGGTCGTGACAAGTTGGTATGTCACGACCCAATTTCCCCTCCGTGTGACGTCGTGACTGCACCTAGTCTCTACAACTAGGTAAGCCTAACACTTTGCGGAATAATGAAATAAAAATATAAATTTAACTAACTATTCAAAAATACACAATAATTTCCAAAACCCGGAATATCGTGAATCACAAACTACAGAAGGAAAAGTCTAGTGTCTCTATACATC